CCCCCCCCAAAAAAGAGTCTTTTAAATTAGAAAAGTAACACATGCACCTGGGAGAAAACTCCAACGGGTTTGCAGCGCCCCCTCCCTGGGCAATCACATCAGCAGCTTCTCCTACTACTGCTAAGTCACTTCAGTCCGAACTCTGTGTGACCCCATCCCTGGGATTCTCCAGGCAAGAACACTGTAGTGGGTTGCCATTTCCTTCTCCAATGCATAAAAGTGAAAAGTGAAAGTGAAGTCGCTCAGTCATGTTGGACTCTTTGCGACCCCATGGGCTGCAGCCTACCAGGCTCCTCCGTCCACGGGATTTTCCAGGGAAGAGTACTGGAGTGGGGTGCCATTGCCTTCTCAGGCAGCTTCTCCTGCTTCTGCACAATTCCGAGATGCAGATGAGCTCGGAGAACATTTCTCCTTCAAACATACATACCCGGCAGCAGCAAACTCTAGATATGCTAGATTCTAGCAGTAGATTCCAGTTCATCTCACTTTTTTTTTTAACCTAAAGATGTATCTTAGAGGTGGTTTTTACACATAAAGGTCAGTTCCACTCTTTCAGCGGCTGCATACTACTTCATTATACCCATGTACCAGCTTTTATTTAACCATTCGGTGGACATTTAGGTGGGTTTCCACTCTTGCGACAGTTAATATACTTCTACAGGCATCATCGCGTTCATGTGCAAATGAATCAGAGGAAATGGAGTTGTTAGCTCCAAGGATAGACACATTTAAAATCAGGATAACTGCTTCCCTGGTGGTCCAGTAGTTAAGACTCCACTCTTCCAATGCAGGGGACACGGGTTCAATCTCTGGTTAGGAAATTAAGATCCCTGATGCCATGTGGCCAAAAAAATAAAATCAAGATAGGTACTGCTAAGTGCTCCCACCCTGGCAGTGTGTGAGGGGCTGGAAATGAATCTTAGAGATGGGATGGAGGGTAGTGGGGGACTGAGTTACTTGCTGGGGTCTGAACAATCACCAAAGGCTCACCTGGGGAGGCCAGGGATGGGGCAGTGGTGTTCAGGGCTGGGCACTTGGGTTCTGGTCCATCTTCTGGCAGGTTGCTACCTGCCTTGGGAAGGGGTCTGACTCTGGCCTCAGTCTTCCTGTGAGTTCTCCTCCCTGGACATGGCCCCTTCTCTTTCTCCCTCTTGCAGGTTGATGGCCTGGATCCTACACAGGCTGGAGATGGCCCTGCCACAGCCAGTGATCCGTGGGAAGGGTGGGGAGCAGGTGGGTGCTGCCTGGGGGAGTAGGGATCCTGGGTAGTGGTGGTGGGAGGGTCCTGGGAGCTCAGACAAGGGTGAGATGGTCCCTGGTGAGCAGGTTGATGGCCTGGATCCTACACAGGCTGGAGATGGCCCTGCCACAGCCAGTGATCCGTGGGAAGGGTGGGGAGCAGGTGGGTGCTGTCTGGGGGAGTAGGGATCCTGGGTAGTGGTGGTGGGAGGGTCCTGGGAGCTCAGACAAGGGTGAGATGGTCCCTGGTGGGGGAGGGCACAGATGGAAGAAGGGAGCCTGCAACCGGAACTCAGCCCCCCCAGCCTGCCTGTCTGCGTGGCTTGTGTCTATTCCACACACACACACACACACTCTGGTCACTGTGAGCACGGTGACCGCCTGCCAGGTGGTCACAGTCAGTGGGGAGGTGGTTCCATGGGGAGAGCAGAGAGGATGTGGGGTGCAGAGGAGGAGCCTCCCAGGAGCATCACGGAGGACTTACTAGTAGAGGTGGCCTGCAAGCTGAAACCTGAAGGAGGAGTAAGGAGAAGGTGGGTGAAAGTGAAGGAGGTGGTGTAGGAAGGGCCCTTTAGGCAGAAGGTCAGTATGCGCAAAGGCCCAGAGACAAGAGAGGCCCAGAATGTTCTAGGAAGACGTGGGGCTTGTGGGAAGCCAGCGGGCCCCATGTGCATTTCTGATGACCCAGAGCTCCCACATGGGTTGGAGGGGGGAGAAGGGCACCCTGCCTTTCCCTCTCCAAGAACCTGCCACCTGGCGTTTCTCCCTTGGACACAATTGGACATTTTCATAGAAGCACCTGGAATGGAAGGCCTGGGTGGTAGTCCCCCTGTAGTGGAAGGTGGACAGGAAGCTTTAGGACTGCTTCCCTGCTGGCTGACCCCTCAGGCTCCATGTTCACACACCTTCTGTGGGCAGCAGAGGAAGAAACAGCTTTGGAGCGCCCCAAGAGGAGGGAAGGGGGTGTCCAGCAGCAGGAATGATGAGTGGGTGAAGATGCACTGACTGAGTGGGGGTCTCTGAGGATGGGCTGGCGGGGAGAGGCCTGCATGTGGATGGAGCCTTGAGAGAGCCCTCAGGGGAGGATGGGAGAGGGTTTTCATGCATAGAGAACCAGAGAGAGGGCAACCAAGGCCGGTGCCCACCTGGGCAAGGGAGCTAAGGTGGGACCAGGCAAGCGGTGAGCCTGGCAGGGGAATGGCTAGCGCAGCAGGCCACTCCGAGGGGGAGGGAGTGTCCTGGGCGCTGTGAGGAGGCCCTCTTAGCCCTGTGTGCCAGGAGGGCTGACTGAAGCAGGAAGGCCGGTGAGGAGCCCACAGAAAGTGTTTCCCCGTTTCTCCCCATACAGGAGTCTGACGCCCCAGTGACATGTGACGTGCAGACCAGTAAGTGACATCTTAGTGGATCCTTGTGTGCATCTCTCTGGGGCTTGTTTGGTCTGAGTGTGCATGGGACAGGCAAGGACATGGGGATGGCTGGGGCAACTAGTCTCCAGACCTGGATTTGGGAGAGCCCACGCTCTGCAGGCGACACTTCAGGTCAGCCTGGCCAGGTAGCCAGAGCCTGGCCCAGAATCAGATGGTGGTTGGAGAACCCCCTTCTGGGGACCAGGGAGCCGAGGGGATGGGCACATAGGCAGGAACTTGGCCTGCCTGCCAGCTTCTATCCAGAAAAAATAATTCTGAGATCAAGTCAGATGAGCCTCCCTTCCTGCGACGACGCCCTGGAGAGAGTGTCCCATGGTCCCCTGGGCTAGTGGGTTTGGCTCAGCAGAGTCTCTGGTTATGGGGTGAAACGAGAGAGATGGGCTTTCTCTGGGTGTACTGGACACCTTGAGCTGGGAGGGCATCCCCTTGCCTGTGGGGAGTATGTATTGCTTTTATCTCAGCCCTGTAGGAGGACTGGGGCCAGGAGGGGAGAGCTGAGATCCAAAATCTGCTCTTCCTTCATGTCATGGCCTCTGGAAAGGCATGTGTCATATGGGGCACCCACACATCCATTCATTCGTCCATTTGTTCGTTCATAAATGTTCACAGAGGGCTGCTCTGTGCCAGGCCTGTGATGAGAGTTGGAGGTGAGTGGAGCAGAGTTCAGGCCCAGGGCAGTCGCCCTCTTTTACCCTGGACACAGGCCCTCGGAATGTGGGCCCTGGGTGTCCCAGAGCTGCCTGCCCCAGCCCCACTATGGTGGCCTTTATGACCCACTCCAGTGTTCTTGCCTGGAGGATCCCATGGACAGAGGAGCTGGCGGGCTACAGTCCGTGGGTCACACAGAGTTGGACACGACTAAGGCGACTTAGCACACAGGATCACTCCGACATAGGGCGGCAGGCACAGGCTGGCTGACTGTGGCGCTCAGGCACGGGAGGCGATGGGGTTTGTATAATCGTGGTTGTGTCGTGAAGGGGAGGCTCAGAGCAGGCTTCACTCACTCTGGAGCTCACGTCCACCCTAAAGGGTGCAGAGCAGGGCCGCCACGGCTATTGGGGTGTGCAGAAGGGCAGGGATGTGCCCAGGGTCACAGAGCAGTTGTCATGGAGCAGTGACTAGAGTCCCTTGGGCCCAGCATCAGCTGCTCAGCCCGGCCAAGGTCAGAGGACCGGAAACCCTTCCCTGGAACAGAGACCTACCCCCTCCACCCCCAGGGGCCACTGAGAGGTCTGAGGGTGGACCCCCCCACCCCAATCCTGCTCCCTGCTCCTCTGAAAGCCAGCTGCAGGCAGGACCTCGCTGTGTGCCTGGAGCATGTGGGTCATGAATGAAACCAGGGTGTGTCAGTTTCCTGGGGCTGCCATAACAAAGGCCAGAAATGGATACCCTCAAATGGCAGAAATAGATTCTCTCTCAGTTCAGGAGGCTGGAAGTCTAAAATCGAAGTGTTGGTAGGGTCGGCCCTGGGGCTCGGAGGTGGGCACTGTGCCGCACCTCTCTCCTGGCTCCAGTGGCTGCTGGCCATCCTTGATGCCCCTTGGCGTCTAGCTGCCCTCCAAGCTCTGCCTTTTCTGTGTCCGCCAAACCTCCCTCTCGTGTCTTCCATAAGGAGGTGTCATTGAGTTTAGGTCCCTCCCATTCTAAATCGAGCATCACTTCACCCTGAGATCTTTAACTAGTGACACCTACAAAAACTCATTTCCAAATAAGGTCCCACTCACAGGTAACAGGGGTTAGGACTGGGATATAGTTTCTTGGGGCGAACACTGTTCAGATAAGGGCGACCCCTCCCCTGCCCGGTCCCCCAGCTCCCCTCCCATCTCCCCCCCCATCCTTTCACTCATTCACTCCCTCTGCCTGTCCACCCCGCCACCCACTCTTCTGTCTTCTCCTTTGTTTCAGGGGTGGTGGCAGCTGGAAGCCTCTGAAACAAAAGGGAAGGGAGCCTGGGAGAGCGCAGATGGACACATGGACAGATGGATGGAAGGAAAGAAGGGTGCCCTGAAGAGAAGACCTGCTGGGGAGGGGAATGAGGTGGCCATTGAACTCCCCACCCTCCTTGAACCCCCTACTGCTCCCCCCCACCCTAATCCCAGGCAGGGTGATGGGGAGCCAGTCCCAGAACTGCCTCTCAGAGACTAAGGCTGCCCTTTTCCACCAAAGCAAAGGGAAGGCCAGCCTGGCAGCCTGTAGGGTTTAGGCTGGACAGCGGGAGGACCTCCCACCAGAGGCTGCAGGGACGCCCACGGGCATGGCTTTGAAAGGACACCCACATAGTTCTCAGGATGGTGCCTGACACACGCAGTGCCCCCATGGGACACAGTTTTTCCCAGAAGATGATCTCCTTAGGCTTGGCCATGTTCTCCCCCTCCAAAATTTGGGGACCACTAGTGGATGACAGCACATGCTTTAACTGACATTAAAAAGCATATGGTAGTACATCAAACCTGTGATTGCATGATGTTACTGCTCCGGGTAAGGCTAAAGGGAGTACTTAGATTTGAGACGTGGGTGAATTAATATGGCCTGCATATTGGGATTGTCGGAAGGAGTCAGCCAGGGGTCCTGAGCCAGTTGCCCTGGGTCCCAGCTGACCTACAAGATGTCTTTGTTTGGGACAAGGAGGATTTTAAACATTGGCATTAGTTGTCAGCATTGAAAAATCAGGTGACTTGGCACAGAGAAACCTGGCTTCTCTTGACAACTGGGAAGATCGGGCTGTCATGGTCCCACGCTGTGTGTTGGGGACTGTCTGAGTGGCAGCTGCCACGTGAGAGCAGGTGGTACCCTCCACTCTCATCTCCCCAGCTACACAGGCCTTTGAGTTTTGAGACCCCTGAGGTCTCAGACTGGCAGCGAGGGGAGGGCAAGCTGGTAGAGGGAACAGGGTGAACATATGCCTGGCGGTGAGAGTGTACGGGGAGAGGGCTGGGCACTTCAGCTAATCTGGAGCCCAGAGCCCTTGATGCAGAAGGTAAAACTGGAAAAGTCGGGCCTGATGTTAGGGGACTAGGCTCTAGGTGACGGGGAGCTGTTGCAGGTGGTTGAGCAGGGCGGTGACTTTGCAGAGATGACTCTGAGGCTAAGCACACGTCAGGGGCAGAGAAGGCCACTGAAGCAGGGGTTCTTGAACTTCAGGTTACATCTGGGGGTGGCTATGAAGAATGTCCCACCCCCAGACCTTCCAATTTAAAGAGTGTGGGAGCCTGATAATCTGCACTTTCAAGAAGCACCCACTTGCTCAGATGATTCTGATGATTGTATAGTGGAGAGGACCACACTTTGAGAAATACCCAGTTAGTGAGGAGTTAGTGCTTCAAGGGCTAGAAGATGCGGGTCTGGGCCGGTGAGAGACAGAGGGAGTGGGTGTCGTGACCCAGGCCTGCCAGGGAGGATGGGGGTTTTAAGGCCAGGCCAGGGCTTTGCCAGCAAACCAGGGACTGGGAGGAGGCCTTGGCCCAGAGTCCGTGCCCCTGGCTCCCTGTCGGCTGGTCCTAGAAGCAGCAGCTCCCTCCCTGTATGGGGCTATGGACCTGGTGCTACTGGAGTTAGAACCCCATTTGGCTGCCCTGAAGACCACCCTAGGGTGGGAGGATACTGTGCAGGAAGGGGTGTGCCCTGAGGCACTCAGGGTGAAGTTTAAGCCCCAGATGGAGCAGCAGTTTCCATGTTAGTTTGAGCATCCATAGTGCCTCGTGGCCTCATCTGTGACCTGGGTGCCTGGATGGACCCTGGAAAAGCCGGAAGAGCTGAGAGTCAGATGCCTGCAGAGAGGGTCCCATAAACAGCTCCAGGGACAGGAGGGCCCCGCCCCAGGATCGGTACCCCCTGGCTGCCCTTTCTGACTGGTGATCTCAGGCACCATCCTCTTCTTTGGCTATAAAATGGGGATAGGCCTGGCACAGAGATGAAAGGAGGAAATGCTTATAAAATGCCTACTCACTAATTAGTACCTAAAAAGAAAGGGTTAGCGAGAGGGAAAGCAAGGATGTGAGCAAGGATGGCATCCAACGCCTGTCATGGAGTGGCTGCCAGTGCTGGGGAGGTGCTTCTGGGGCACGCTTGTCACCTAGGATAGCACCTAGGAGATGAGTCAGGGGACCTGGCACTGCCTCTGGCATCCTGTGTGGCCTTGGACAAGTCACTCAGCCTCTCTGGTCTATAAACTAGGGAGAGGACTGTTCTTACCCTGCAGGGTTGCTGTGAAGGCTCATGAGCTTACAGGTCAGGGGATATTCTGTCCCCTGGGTGGCCGCTGGGTGTCAAGCACGAACTTGCACCCCCAAGAGGTGGTCCGGATGAAGACCCCACACCAAGGCTGGGTGACAGCATAGAACAGCAAGCACCTGTGACCTGTATGTCCCACCACTGGATTCAGGGCCACAGTTGGAGGATCTTCCCTGGTCAAAATCCAGGGTGCTTAGAAGGATAGGGGAGATAGGACTGTAGCCCATGATGTGGTGGTATGCTTCCTTGGAGGGCACGTGGGCACCTCCTCTGTGATGCAGGATAACATCCATACCTGGAAGACAGGAGGCAGGCGTGGGGAGGGAGAACTCTGGGAAGGCAGACTGCCCCTGAGCCTGGCGCGAGGGAAATACCCTATAAAAGAAATCCTTAACCTGCATCTCAGTTTGCTCATCTGTAAAATGGGGAATAAAACATAAAAGAGGGAAAATAAAATGGGGATAATAGTTATTCCCACTTCAAAAGGTTGATGTGAGGGTTAATTGAGTTAATCCATGTAAGTCACTTAGTACAGGGCCTGGCACATAGTAAATGCTCAATAAGTGTAGCTGGTACTATTGTTACTATTCTACACTGTGAACAATAACTCCCAGAGTCAAAGGAGAAGACTTGAGGCCAGCTTCTACTTAAAGTCACCATTAGTAATTCACACCTGGCTTCAGGCCCACCAAGATCCCTGGAGCTTTTGGGGACCACCTGCTACCAGGTAATCTTTCTCCCCTTTCTCCTGTCTGGGGGTGGGCTCAAGTTCCCGATGAACCTCCTCTGCACCCACTTCTGCCACGCTCACAGCCCCACTTTCTTTGCCAGGGACCAGAGTCCACAGAGAAATGTTGAAAGTAAGACCACTTCCATGAGAAAATCAAGTTCTCTTGGAGGTGGCGCCTCCAGGCCAAGAGAAAGTCTTTCTAGACTCCCAGAGGCGGGTTCTGAGATTATGGGCACGATGTATGCTGTCAGCGGGGGTGGCATCTGGAGAACAGGTGGTGAACAAGCTCTCTCTGTAACCCTCGGGGCATTCCAGGCCATTGCACCTGGATACGGCAGGTGGACTTTGAGCATGGGTCTCATGGTATCACCTGCGATGCTGTGTTTGGAAAAAGGAGAAGACTTGAGGCCAGCTTCTACTTAACGTCACCATTAGTAATTCACACCTGGCTTCAGGCCCACCAAGATCCCTGGAGCTTTTGGGGACCACCTGCTACCAGGTAATCTTTCTCCCCTTTCTCCTGTCTGGGGGTGGGCTCAAGTTCCCTATGAACTTCCTCTGCACCCACTTCTGCCACGCTCACAGCCCCACTTTCTTTGCCAGGGACCAGAGTCCACAGAGAAATGTTGAAAGTGAGACCACTTCCATGAGAAAGTCGAGTTCCCTTGGAGGTGGCACCTCCAGGCCAAGAGAAAGTCTTTCTAGACTCCCAGAGGCGGGTTCTGAGATTATGGGCACGATATATGCTGTCAGCGGGGGTGGCATCTGGAGAACAGGTGGTGAACAAGCTCTCTCTGTAACCCTCGGGGCATTCCAGGCCATTGCACCTGGATACGGCAGGTGGACTTTGAGCATGGGTCTCATGGTATCACCTGCGATGCTGTGTTTGGAAGCATCGTTTCTGTACAGACCTCCAAACGGGAGACCCTGCTGAGAAACAAAAACTAACTGTAATTGAAAAGTGAGTGTCAGTTGCTCGGTTGTGTCCCACTCTTTGTGACCCCATGGACTGTAGCCCGCCAGGCTCCTCATTCCATGAGTTTCTCCAGGCAAGAATACTGGAGTGGGTTGCCCTTCCCTTCTCCAGGTGAGATCTTCCTGACCCAAGGATCGAACCTGGGTCTCCTGCGTTGCAGGCAGATTCTTTACCATCCGAGCCTCCAGAGAAGCCTTGTCTCAAAAGGAAAGAGAGAGTGGGGGAGCTCATGGAAGGAGACAGGGTGAATTATCATGGGCTTCAGCCCACCACTTTAGCACTGGCCTGATTGTCAGTAGTCCCGGTGATAGCATGCTGTTTCCACTGCTTGGCTGAGAACTGGCGCGTGGCTGGTGATGAGCAAGGCTCCCTGTGTGGTCCCTGGAACTCAGAGGCACAGGCCCACTCTCCCCCATACCCTGTGTCCCCTGTAGTCAGCATCCTCCCTGGAGAGCAAGAGGAGTCGGATCTCATCCTAGAAGAGGTTGACCCTCACTGGGAGGAGGATGAACACCAGGAAGGCAGCATCAGCACTGGCTTGCGGATCTCAGAGGAAGCTCCAGCTGATGAAGAGAAGGGCGAGGTGGTGGAGCAGATGCCCAGGTGGGAGCCAGAGAAGGCCCTGAAAAAAACATTGTCTGGGAAGATAACAGGCATATGATACAGAATCCCCAAGGTACAAAAGGGCAGAGAGCGGGGACCAAGCATACCTTCCCCTACCTCTCCCTCCCACCAGATACACATCTTTCTCCCCATGGGCACAACAGCTGCCAAGGTTCTTCTGTAACTTTCCAGGGCCTGTTGGAGCATATGTGATGATGGATTCCCTTCATTTTTTGCACAAAAGATAGCATATCACATCCATCGACCTTATTACATTCGTTCAACATTGTACCTTGAGATCTTTCCACATTGAGTATATGGAGATCATACTCATTTTTTTCAACAACTGCATAGAATTTCATTGTATGGATATGCCATACTTAACTTGTCCACTATTGATGGCCATTTTTATTATTTTAAATAATTCTGCCACAGGCACTCTTGTTACATGTCCCTGAATGTGCATGTGTGTGTATCTGCAGGATACATTTCCAGAAGGGAGTTGCAGGGTCATCGAGGAAGGGAGTGTGTAACCATGGTAGTGATGGCCAGGTCACCCTCTGCAAGGACAGAAGCTTCTCCATTCAGCCCCTATGGAGTCTTAGCCGCTCAAGTCAGGAGGCTTCAGGTCCACAGGTCCATGACCTGTGTTGCAAAGATGGGGAAACTGAGGACCAGGGAGGGTGAGGGGTGACCTAAGGTCAGCACCAGGGCGGTTGCGGGCCAGGACAGGCCTCTCATGCAGGGAGGGAGCCTTCATTGCTAGAGAGAGGCCAGGGTTCCCCAGGTGCAGTCTTGGGGTTATAGGACATCCTACTGAGACCTGGGGTAGGAAGTGGACTTTGGGTGCAGCTAAAAGTGACCTCACCTCTTGCCTCTGACCTCAACTCAGGGAGCTGACTCGGATTCAAGAGGAAAAAGAAGAGGAGGAGGAGGAAGAGAAGGAAGACGGAGAGGAGGAAGAAGAGGAAGGCAGAGAGAAAGAGGAGGAAGAAGAGGAAGGCAGAGAGAAAGAGGAGGAAGGTGGAGAGAAAGAGGAAGAAGAAGGCAGAGAGAAAGAGGAGGTGGAAGGCGGAGAGGAGGAGGGAGACGAAGAGGAGGAGCAGGAGTAAGACACTAGTGCGCCTGGCTTAGGGATGACCCAGGGAAGCGCTGCGGTGGCTTTTGGGGTGGGAATGCTTTCTGCCTCTCATGGGAGCGCCTCCCTTTGTTCTGTGCTGTGTTCTGTACCACTGAGCGCTGATTAGAGAGGCTAGGGGGCTGCTGGGAGACCTCCACTGGGCTCATGACCTTGGGATTCACAATACCCAACACTCAACAACCACCCCCACCCCACCCACCCCTATACGTGCAAACAAATGTAGAATGCACCTCCACAAGAAGGGGGTTTTGGGGAGAGGATCCTGGACCATGCAAGCCAGACAGAAGGGCAGTTGGAGAGATGGATGTACATGGAGGTGATGCGCAGATGGCTGGATGCATGAGTGGGGTTCGGGGTTAAGAGGCTGGACTGGAGATGTAAAGGCAGGTGTCCGGTCTTGTAGATGGAATTGAAAGTGGGGCTAGAGGAGGTGCCTGGGGAGTGTGTGGATGAAGGAGAGACCCAAAGGCCAGATTGGAGTTCAGGAGGAACCAGAAAGGACCAAGGAGGAGGAGAGGGAGATGAGAAGAGTGTGGGACCTGGAGGCCCAGTTGGAAAGAGTTTCAAGGAGGTGGAAGTGAACTGCGGCCTCACGAGCAGCCTGCGTGGCCCAGGAAGAGTGACAGTGTAACTTGAAGTGGGGGGAGATGATCCTTCAGAGGTGCCAGATTGTGAAGGCCTTGAACTTGACTTCCTTGGAGCAACAGGGAGCCATGGAAGGTTTGTGAGCAGGGGAGTGATGCAGGCTGGCAGCTGCATTGTGCAGCGATTGAAGCAGGAGGAGCATCGAGGTGGCTGGGTGATTTAATCTCTCCCCTTGATCAGACCGGGTGATTTCGTCTTTCCCCTTGATTCGCCCCCCTGGCATTATTCCCTGTCCCTGTCGTTTTGCCCTCTCTGGTACCCCTTGGCCCACACCCTGGCTCCCTGTCCCTTTGGCCATGGCCTAAGGCAGTATAGCACTGCGAGTGTTAGGAACCCAAGCTTTGCTTCTCTCACCAGAGTGACCTGGGTGAGCAGCAGGTGGGCATAGATCTTCTGCCTCTACATCTGTAAAATGGGAGGTCTGGCAGTGGAGATAATAGCCCCTGCTGAGTGGTCAGAGGGCCAGCTAAGAACAGATGCAGTAGGTGTGGAGTATGTGGTCCATCAAAAAGGTCCACCAACCTTCTCATCTCTACTAAGGGTCACTTTTAGTCTCATTCAGGAAACAGTTAAATCATGAGACCACATAGGATTTGGGAGCTAGAAGCCTGATTAGTCTCATCTGCTTTCAGTCCACGCTTGCCCAGTTCACATATAATCTTTCTGTCCTTAGCAGGAGGCCACATAACTACTTGCTTGCCTCCAATAATGGGGAGCTCACAAGCTCTCAAAGGCTATCCATTCCATCCACACATACCTCTGACTTAGGAAATTATTTCTTCTGCCAAAACTAAGAGTGCTTCCTTTTGGCTTCTGTAACCTGGTCCTAATTCTGCCCTCTAAGGCCCCCCAGAGCCAGGATGCTCTCACTATCCGGTGAGTGCCCCTCCCTAAGTGAAGACCTTGGGTGCTGCCTGGGTCTTCACTAGTACCGCCCTATCTGCTCTCTTCTTTCCACTTGCCTCTGGGTATAGTGCAGAGCTCGGAGCTGTTCTGCCATCAAATCTTCATGCCCAAAACACAGGCCTACAAATCCCTTTATATGCCATGGCTCTTGAACTAAAACACCACTTGAAGGCCAGGGAGCCAATGCACCCAGGCACACGTACTAACTACACATATGTTCTCTGCCTAATACACATGGGCTGTCCACACATATCTGCACTGTGCATGCACACCTGCACACAGACACAGACGTGCTGGGTTATGTGCACACCTATGTGTTGTCAGGGCACTTATGCCCAAACACAGCCTGCAGACACACACAAGTAACACAGGCACAGGTGCACTCAGCTGCATGGATCCACACTATACACAAGCACACGCATACAGTGACCTGTGAACACTGCCAGGCACGTACCTGATCACACACATATTTGCCCAGAACTTCAAACTCAGGGCTTAGGGCCCCAAGTAAGGACAAGGGTCTTGTGATGACAGAGTGGCTGATCCCAGGCACAATGCCAGAGGGTGTCAGGCGTGGGACAGGTGGCTGGGCTGTCACCGGCTGGGGAAGGATGCTCTTGCCAGCTCTGTGGAGACATAGGGGTTACTGATGACGCACAAGCCCTGGTAACGGGCAGATGGTCGCCTAGCGACCTGATCTCTGCTGGCAACAGCTCGGCTTTTCCTAGCAACCACAGCCTTTTGGTCCCCACCTGGTCTCCCTGGGGGCGTTTCTACAGAGTTCCCTGCACGTCCCCTCAATCTGATTAGAAGCAGGAAGGATTGGAGGCTCATCCACCACTCAGGTCACACTGGCTCTGGAGTTCGCCTTGCAGACTCGGGGCTGGGCCGGGGCTCCCCAATTCTCCACTGGCACGCACCAACCCGGGGCTTGGGATGAATGTCATTGCCCCCAGCTGAGCTCCTGCATCATGGGCGTTCCTGTTGGCAAAGACAGCAAGACCCAAGTAGGTGTCTGATTCTCCCTAAGGGCTCCCCTCCTTCATTCTTCTGGGGTTGAGGGATGCTGGGCGAAGAGTCTACAGTGAGGTCCTTAAGCTGGGGACACGGCCTGCTTTGTGACTTGAGGGAGGAGCAGTGGACTGCTAAACTCTTGCCAGAGGCTGTAGCTGCTACTTCCCACATCTTTAACTCAGAGAGCTGGGACCTTTGCGTTCCCCGCCTCAGCCAGTCTGTCTGAGCCTCTGCTTGCAAATCCCAGGAATTTGGGAGCTTTCCAGAAGTTCATGGCCTTCTGCTTCTGGGCAGGTCAGGAGGGGGCCTTCGCAGGCAGTGGGAATACTCCCGCTCAGGAGCAATAAGATTTTTGGGTACATGGCTCCCCAAACAGCCCCTGGTGAGGCTGACAGGGCCACCATAGGGCCTGTTCTGGTGTCTCCATAGCTGGAGATGTTTGTGTAAAATGTTCTTCCATCTCCGTAGGTGATTCATAGGTCGCCGCCTCCTCTGGGATTAATAATAACTACGACAGGAACAGTCTTAATAACAGCTGTCACTTGATGAGCACTTGTGTTCCCTGCCAGGGCTCCTACTGCTAATCCCATTTCACAGATGAGAGAACTGAGGCCCGGAGATAGCAACCCACACGTCCAGGGTGCCCTGGCAGCGAGCGCAGAGCTGGGATTGTGTCCCAGGTCAGGCTGGGCTCCTAAGCAGACATCTGGTACTGCAGACAAGGAACGGTTCAACTTACCTATGTTTAGAGATGGAGAATCCAGATGACTCTGGACACGGGGAGGGTGTTTGACTTTTCTCTTAGCTTCTCACTGGCACTTCTAACCTCACTCAAATAAGCCAGGCTGGGACTTCTCTGGCAATCCAGTGGTTAGGACTCTGTGGTTCCAATGCAGGGTTATGGGTCTGATCCCTGGTCAGGGAACTAAGAGCCCACATGCCATGCAGTGTGGCAAAAAAAAAAAAAAAGGCCAGGCTGTATGGTAGAGGCTGAACAAGTCCTACCCATTTGACAGATAAGCAAATGGAGGCTTCCTAGGGACTTACTTTCCATATCTGATTCTAGAATGAGCAAGACCCCAGGAAGTCTCTGACTGGGACTGTGGGAAGTTCATTTCCTGGGCCTCCTTGCTCTGAGAAATGAGGAGGCCACTGCATCTGTTTCAGGGAAGGAGAGTCAAGTCAGCTTCTTGCAGCACCAGCCAATCCCCCCCCTTCCGGGCAGGGCCTTCTCTGTTAGGCTTGAGGGCATGGTTTCTGTAATACTCTTAGAAGCCCTCCAAGAACATTCCCAAGTGGTGCTGGTGGTAAAGAGCCTGCCTGCCAGTGCAGGAGATGTAAGAGATATAGCTTTGATCCTTGAGGCGGGAAGATCCCCTGGAGGAGGGCATACCAACCCACTCCAGTATTCTTGCCTGGAGAATCCCAAGGACAGGGGAGCCTGGCGGGCTACAGTCCATAGGGTCAGAAAGTGCAGACACGACTGAAGCGACTTAGCATGCAAAGAGCATTTTAATTTCTTTCAAAAGTAGATCCAACTAATAAAAATAAATGGAAAAAAAAAAAAGCACTGCCCACCCTCAAAAACAAAAAAACAAAAGCAGACCCAACAAATGAACTTTAAGATGGAAGAGAATATTTTAAATATAGTATTAACATGTTAATCTTCATATGAATTCAGTCACAAAATAGAATTTTAAGTATTTATTTATTTGACTGCAGGAGGTCTTAGTTACAGCACATGGGATCTTGTTCCCTGACCAGGGTTTGAACCTGGGCCCCCCGCATTGGAAGCACAGAGTCTCAGCCACTGAACCACCAGGGAAGTCCACAAAATAGAATTTTAAAAACATACTTATGAAGGAAGGGGGCCCTTGAGGGTTGTTTTGCCAGGCCTTTTGAAGTTCTTATTTTGCCTTTTCCTTTAGGAAGTTTTTTTTTTTCTTGGGCGGGTTGGGTTTTGCCACTTTGGGCCCTTCCCGTTGGAATTTTTTAACCATTGAGGGGAAGGAAATTGGTTTGGTTGTTTAATCCTCCAGACACTCACCTCACTCATCCACATCACCTGGGGCTGTGTAGACACTCAGAGAGCAGCAGTAGAGTCTGAAGGACTTGGCACTGGGGTCAGATATGCCCATCTTCTATCCAGATTCACCTGGTACAGGCTGTGTGACCTTGGCCAGGCCATCTGACCTCTCTGAGCCTCTGATTACTAAGCACAAATGGGATCAATCGCAGCTGGGCTCTTAGGGTCATTTGGGTGAGGATTTGGTGGGACATTGTATGTGCCAAGAGCTTGGCCCCCTGCCTGGCACTCGGCCCTTGGGAACTGCTGTGACAATATGATTGCTGGCTGATTCCTTCTCCCAGGCTGCTGTCTCCAAACCAGCTGGGCCCCATCTCCTTATCCACCTCAGAGGCTGAGACTTGCCCCTTTGGGTAGAGGATGGGGGATCCAGGTTTTCTGGGCAGCAGATGCTAAAGAGCATCCTCTGTGAGCCCCTCGGTGACAGTGGTCCATGGTGTGGGTTGAGGCTGCTAGGAAACCGGATCTAATTCTAACCACAAAAATCACATTAGCCCTTGGTCCCAAGTCATCATTTTAATCCAGAGATTGTACACAGGCATCTCAGGGCCCAGTTTAGCCTGGAGACAGGCTCTTTGAGATATTGACATATTAATATAGATGTCAATATAGATTATACAGTTTAATATAGATATTAGTTGGGATGAATTATCAGCCTCTAAAGATGGGGAGATCCCATTTTTCAAGGGTGTAGTTCAGTCTTTTCCTGAAAATCAGCAGATCTGGCCACGGGACACTCATTCCAAGCAGAATGGGGTTGCTGATTCAGATGGGCAGGGGTTCTCTGATTTGCCATATTCTCCTCTGTTCCCTGTAGTCTCACCCTGGCCCCCTATCACTCATGTATACCTTTGTCTGGGCCAGGGGCCCCTGAAACCTTCAGCAGTTGCAGTGTGGCTCCGACCTCATGGCATGCAAAAAAATCAGGCTGTGTGTTTGAGTTTTGTGTGATGTGGGACAATATGCTGTGTGATTTTGGTTAGGCCAGTTGACCTCTCTGGGCTTCACTTTTCTCATACTTCCTTCTCTGCGTCCACCTTCAAGGTTGCCTGGAGACTCTAAGAGGGGAAATGCTAGGCATAGATTTTGAACACCATACAGTGCCTGTTAGTCTCCCCCGCTGCAGAGGATGTTTCCTCAACACCGTGCTCCAGCATTTTCTTTGCACATGCTGTTCCTGTTTCCTGGACACCATTCCCCACCTATTTCCAACTCACAGGCCACCTCCTCTGGGAAGCCCTCCTTCCTAGCATAATTGTGGCTGTGCCCTTCACAGCCGCTTGCTCCAGCACATGATGCAGACTGTGAGATTGTTAACAGGACGTGGTATCTGCCGCTTGCCTGGTGCTGGGAGCTTCAAGGCCGAGGACCAATCCTTAGACATCTTTGTGCCCCAGCTCCCAGCACAGAGCCTGGCACTCAGCACAGCTCGGAAAACATGTAATATCCCTAACCCCAGACCTTGCCTCCTGCCCCTCACAGTCACAGTGTCCTGCTGGATAGTTATCTGGTGGCACAGAGTGAGGAGGACCAGAGTGAAGAAAGTGAAACCCAGGAGCAGAGTGAAGTGGGCGGAGCCCAGGACCAGAGTGAAGTGGGCGGAGCCCAGGAGCAGGACGAAGTAGGCGGAGCCCAGGAGCAGGACGAAGTAGGCGGAGCCCAGGACCAGAGCACCTCACACCAGGTATGGAGCAGCGCTAGGCCTCCTGCCCAGGCTACCTTGGAGGCCTGGGCCGAAGTCAGTGGAAGGTTATGGGGCCATGTCCACTTTGTTTATGGGGGGTGAGGGTTCAGCTGATGAGATGCGCATCAAATAGAGAAGAGTGGGATGGTAGTTGCTATAAGGCCCTGCTTGTGTCAGGGATCAGATGGAGTCAAGAAGGGCCTTGGCGACATGGCTGTGAGTGGGCAGCAGTGGTCCTGGACTCCAGTCCTCATGTGACCCTAGGTAAGACCCTACCCTGGACCTCAGTGGTCACCTCTGTAAAATGGGGCTAAAAACCCCTCTCCAGAGTTTTGTACATGGCTGTGGGCTGTGAAATGTGCTGCCAGGTGGAGAGTGCCGTGGGGGCTGCTTTCGTTGCTTTTTCTCCACACGCAGAGGGTTGTCCGATAATTTCCCCTCATGATATGTGACAGGTCCAGGTGTTGGGGCCTGGGGCTCCTGTGTGCACTGGTTGCTCCAGAAGGTGGGCTGCAGGTATGACCAGTGGGCAGGGTAAGGAGTAGACTTGGGCCCATGAAGATGCTTGAGGGCAGATCCCCCAACACTGGCTGGGCTGGACCAGGGCAGGGATGGTTGGATGGTCACCACTTCAGTTTCCTCTTTATCTTTCGCAGGAGCTGCAAGAAGAGGCCTTGGCCGACAGCTCAGGAGGTAGGCGTGCAGTGGGGGTGGGGTTGCATAAGAATGTCTGGGCTTCTTTCAGGCTGGGGGCAGCTGGGGCACAGGGGCAAGCCCTCCGCCTCTGCCTCTCAACTCCTCCCCCTCCCTAACTCATCCCATCCTCAGGCAAAACCCATTTTCTGCATCTTAGGGCCACATAATCAGAGTCTGATGATGTATTTCAAAGGCCCCAAGGGAATTGCCTTGAGGCCCTGCCCCCCACCTTCCTCCCACCCCTACCCCACCAGGACTCCAGGTGTGTGCGTGCTCACTCAGTCCTGTGTGACTCTGCAACCCCGTGGACTGTATCCCACCAGGCTCTTCTGTCCATGGGATTCTCCAGCCAAGAATACTGGAGCAGGTTGCCATTTCCTACTCCAGGGGAATCTTCCCGACCCAGGGATCGAACCCGCATCTCTTGCATCTCCTGCATTGACCATCTCCTGCATTGACCAGCGGGTTCTCACTGCACCACCTAGGAAACCCCAGGACCCCAGGAGGCCTAGGGAAACCCTACTCCCAGCTAATCCCTCCTGCCAGCCTCTTCACTGGGTCCACAACTCTCTAGGCTACAGACCAGTGAGAGTTTGGCTCAAATGTATCATACCTGAATGAAAACTGGGGCAAGAGCTTGCTAAAAGCGTGTCCTAGACTGTGTCTTTTGAGTTTTCCCTTACTGCTGAGATCTTTGGTACAAGTTTGGTCATTTGTTACTCCGACCCCCAATCCTGAGAACTTCAGGGATGACAGGCCAGAATCTAGGGGAGTGAGGCCAGCTGGACACTGAACCCAGGCCTTGCAAACCTCCACAATCCTCAAGGCACTAGTAGTGCTCCAGATGCCCTGGGAGACAGACAGACTATTTTATAGATGAGAAAATGGAGGCTCTGTGTGGGCAGCAAGAACACAGACCTTCATGTCACTCCTGGCTCCCCCTCTTCCTTTCTGTGTGGCCTGGAGCCAGTCTGTGACCGCTCTTAACTGTGGCTTCCAAGTCAAGAAGAGGGGGAAGTAACAATACCTACCTCACTGGGTTGTTGGGCAGAGTGGGGGTGACCATGCATCCCTGGCCCTGAAGGAGGAGACCATAACTGGGGTCATGAGCCTGTTCCCATGCAGCCAGCATTGGAGATGGGATGGACCCAGGTTTCTTAACCCCAGGTGTCCTGAGTCTGCTTCCTACCTGGTCTTTGAAAAAATCCTTTGTTAACTTTAACCCAAATCTGCTGGAAGCCCACTAATTCTGCACCCCACAAAGATGAACAAGACCAGGATCAGGGGGTGCAAACTAGGGCTCCATGGGGCTGGTTCCACACCCTTCCCCAGGTCATTTGGAAGCAGGTGGCCTGGGAATCACACTTTGAGAAACACTGAGGCATGGCCTTCTGTCTGCCGCCACTTGAAAGTGTGGCTCTCAAACCAGCAGCTTTGGTGTCACCTGGGAGCTGCTTTAAAATGCAGAATCCCAGGCCCCACACCAACCAGCTGAAGAAGAAACTGCACTATCACAAGATCCCTGGAGATCTCTCTGCACATTTGTGTTTGAGAGGCAATGGCCTTGAGTCGTGGTTCTCATGACTGCGATTGGAATCATTTGGGGGAGAGTTAAAAAAATCCTGGTGTCAGTCTTCACCTCAGACCATTAAATCAGAATCTCTGGGGGTGGGCCTGGGCATCAGGCATTGCCAGGCCTCCCTAGGCAATTCCACTATGTGGCCTATTTGGGGAACCAGGGACCTAGGAAAAGTTATTGTTTCTGGTTGGAAGTGAAATTAATTGAGCTCCAGGGTTTCTTTAGGATGGAAAATCCTACCGGACTAAGAATGTTTGAGTGTTAGCCTAAGAGCCTAAGGAGTCCTAGGTTCTTTGATTCTAAAGTAGGAAATGCTATGACGGTTGGTTAAGGAGAGAAAGTGCCAGAACTGGGTGGTGCTCAGGGCTGTCTCTCAGAGCTGTGGGTGGACCAGCCACATGACTGGTGTTGCCCTCCAGGGATGATAGTGATGCTTCAGACTCTGGGTGCACTGCTGAAAGTGCAGGTGGGACTGGGCTGGGTCTGTGTTGGCACCGGTGGGGAAGAGCCCCACCTTCTCTGCCTCTCCCAACTCTTTGCTCCTCATTGCAGTCCCCAGGGTCCTGCCTCTGCCTGAGACCCCCTGGCCTCAGCACTATGGCTAAGCCAGGCCAGGACATGGAGCTGAATCACCTAGTCCAGGACCAGTCGCCTGGCCAAGTGACCCCCAGGCTTGCCCCCCCAAACCTGGTGGAGCACCTCCCCAATGTGCCCAGCTACCGCCCTCCCATCACCCGCATCCCTGTCCTCATCTCCCGGAGGACAAACCTGTCCAACTCCAGCTTCGTCAAGGAGACCAGGAGCTCAATCCGTCGTCTAGGTAGCGTGAAACTGCCCGCCCAGCATGCTGGTGTCTGTGTTGTGTGTTTCTGCATGGCTTGGGCTGATTTCTGCATGGGTGTTGTGGTCATGGTGTGGGGCTGCTATTTGGGCTCCTGGAAAACCACCCCTTCTTCCTCTGCTGACCAATGCCTTCATCTTGCTTTGTGATGATTTAAGGCATAATAGCCCCCTTCTCTCTGTGCCTAAAATTCCACAATTAGCAATTCATTTTTTGGGGGTTAAACGTGGCATTTTGCAGATCATCAGTTTTTATACGGGTTAGTCACTCATACCCTAGTTTAAACAAGTCATTCAGATCTCCAGGCCAGTGAAGAGGCTTGGATCAAGGAGGTGGGTCAGGGGGAAGAATAATCCGAGGGAAATAGACCAGGAGATGAGGTGAAGGTCCACTGCAGACAGAATCTACTGACCTTGAGAGTTTGCTGGGAGCTGGACTTTCTGAGGACTGTGGCTGTCTGCCCAGCAAATTCTCTTTCAGGAAAGGAGAAGCCCCCAGGTGTTGACAGGCAGACCCAGAGGAGAGGCATCCTCAGGGGCCAGTGCAGAGAGAGAGCCTGTCTGGACCCATTTATTTGTGACAGGTGGCCCACAGTGGCCTTCAGGCTCCTGCTATTTGCTGCCTGCTGACAAAGAGCTGGGGGACATATTGGTGCCTCGCGGCGAACCCCTGTCACTTTGAGTCTGCCTTGACTCAAACCAGACCTGCCCGTTTTGCCTTTAATTCATTTGTTTTTGGATGGCACTGGGCAAGGTTGTCTGCAATGTCCACAGGCAGGTGAAGCTGAACATTTCATGAGAAGAGATCCACTCTTATTCTCCCCTCCTCCTGGCTTGAGGTGGACACAGAATGGGGGTGAAGTAGAGTAAGATTACCTGGCCAGGTGACCCCGGGGCTTGGTTGGTTAGCAGAGAGCACGTAACCCCTGAGGTTGGGGGTGGCGGTGGCTCAGGGATGGCTCAAGGCTGTCTCTCAGAGCTCTTGGGCAGACCAACCTCATGACCAGTGATGTTCTCCACATGAGCTCCTGGGGATGACACACCAAGCCCAGTCTTCCAGGCCAGCCCTAAATCTACTCACTCCAAAGGGCCCCCCATGTCCCCCACCCTTACATCACTTCTTGATTTTTGTATATTCTGCATCAGCTCTGCTGGAACAGGGCGTGACAACCCACTCTAGTATTCTTGCCTGGAGAATCCCGTGGACAGAGGAGCCTGGCAAGCTACAGCCCATAGGATCACAAAACGTCAGACACAACTACAGTGACTTAGCACGCATGCATGCAAGCATGTACCAACTCTGCACTTATTTGCTTATTCACTTTTTCATTCAATTCAGTGTATTTAAATAGGAAGCTTTACATTATAATTCAAATGGAAAACCAGCCCGGCCTGCCATAAATAGAAGGGCATAAATAGAAATAACCACAAAGACATGGGGAACTAGGTCGTGTTGGTAATTTCCAGTGAGGTGGGAGCCCGCTGCAGGCTCATAGCTGAGTCTGCAGAGGGGAGCTCAGACACGTCTGGGAGGCGTTGAGGCCATAGCAGCACTAACCTGAGGTTTCCTCTCTGCCCACGCTGGATCCAGAGAGAACAGGAAAGGGGGGAATGGTCTCATTCTGTGTCATCCTTTGTCTTGGCTGTGCCATCTGAAATCATCGCGTGCCTTCTCTGGTCCCTGGGAGCCCCATGCTTTGAGAAACAGTCGCAGTGACACATTGGGATGGTAGTCTGAACCAACTGTGATTGACACCCGATGATTTTAGATGCTGTGGTCGAGGCAATGACAGCATGCAGTGACAAGGTTATTTCCATTTCAGTGGTTCTGCTCGGCACAGAAGTCTGTATGTAGGCTGGTCACCAACCTCAGGGTGGGCTGAGAGTTTTAGCTCTGGAGCCAGGATGCCTGGGTCCAAATCTGGGCTCTGCTGCAGGTTTCTTAACCTCTCTGCTTGAGTTTCCTTCTCCACAAGATGGGGACAATGATAACAATGACCTCATAGAGTGGCTGGGAATGATGAAAGGGTTTATCTACACATATAAATAAAGCACTTAGAGTTTAGTGAAACAAATGCCTAGTAGGCACATAGGAAGTACTTAACAGTAAATATTATTATTCTCTAAACCAATTTAAGCATACAGTATTATTCTTTGTATTCTTAATCATAGATTCTTATTCTATAAATCAGTATAATATAAACAAATATGATTTCTGTTTTGAGTTCCTACTCTGTCAAACTGGCAGGAAATGAAACATTGGGTTTAGGAGGTCCCCCTACCTTTGAGAGTGACTGAGTTTGTAGGGTCTTATGCAGGTTGAGGTAGGGATGAGGGGACCACATGGTCCCTCCCAGGCTCCCTAAGACAGCCTCATGGATGCTGAGGTCATGGTGTTTTTTGCTGCCGGGGGGCCACGCAGGAGGCACCCGGGGCCCTGAGCGTTTTTGAGAAGCTGCCTTAATCCTGGCTGCCTCCATGCCCCCAGCCCACTTCCAGCTTCCCTCTCCCGAGGTCTGGGGGAAGCTGGGGGAGGTCCCTGCCACCCTATGGTTCTCCTCTGCTTTGCACAGCCTGGGGCATCTCTAGTGAGTCTAGCAAAAGTCCTGCTCATCCTCTTTTCCTGAGGGCTTAGGGTTAGTACAACAAATGCTCCAAAGTCTTGAGATCTGCCTGTGTTCCCTCTACCAACCTTCATAATATGCTGGCTTTTCCCATATGGCCATTAAAAAAAGCTCACATATCCAAATGTTTCAAAACACGCCTCTCCACATTTTGGGGGTGTGCATCTGCCTTGCTGGTACCCAGACCTGCACCTGGCTACTATTGCGTGGTTTGGCCCAGGTGTAGTGGGGAGTAGGGGCACCCTACCAGCCCTTTAGCATCCTCTGAGCTCTGCCTAGAGGCAGACCTGTCCCCACAGTCCCTGGGGAGGGTAATGAAGCCCCAAACAGGGACACACCCAGGCTCCCCAGGGAGGATCTGATTCTCAGGATGCGAGGCCTCTTGGGTCAGGAGAGGAGCTGAGGGGATTATTTCTGGGGGCTCTTGGCAGGTGCAAAAATAAGGAAATACCAAATGTCACAGGGGTAACACACATTACAAAAAAAATCTGTCACCCTTGATTGTAGGAAGCTTCCAGATGTCTCCATTTGAGGCCCTTCAAGAGTGTGAGGCCCTGAAGAGGTAAAATTGTCACTACATGCAGATGACATGATACTATACATAGGAAACCCTGAGGACTCCACGCAAACACTACTAAATCTAATCAATGAATTTAGCAAAGTAAGGATTCAAGATTAATATTAAAAAATCAGTTGCAACACTTTATAATAACAATGAAACATCATCAAGGCAATTTTATCCAAAGCAATGTGCAAATTTAGTATGATACCTATCAAAATACCCAAGACGTTTTTCACAGAACTAGAACAAATAATCCAAAAATTTTTGTAAGAACTATTGAAGACCCAGAATTGCCAAAGCAATCCTGTGAGGCGGCCTAGGGATGGGAGCCACGGAGCAACAGGCGTAACTCTCCCAGACTTCAGATAATACTACAAAGCTACAGTAAAATCAAAACAGTGTTGTAAGGGTATAAAAATGGACATGCGGATCTATGGAACAGTGAAAATAGAGTCGAGAAATAAACCCATATACCTATGACCAATTAATCTCCAACAAAGGAGGCAAGAATATAAAATGGGTAAAAGACAGTCTCTTCAGTAAGTGGTGCTGGGAAAGTTACCTGCATGTAAATCAGTGAAGTTAGAACATACCGTCACACCATATACAAAAATAAACTTAAAATGGCTTGAAGACTTAAACCTAAGACATGACATGTAAAACTCCTAGAAGAGAGCATAGGCAAAACATTCTCTGACACAAATCATACCAATGCTTTCTTGGTTCCGTCTTCCAAGGCAATAGAAATAAAAAACAAAAATAAATAAATGGGGCCTAATCAAACTTTTACAAGCTTTTGCACAGCAGAGGAAATCATGAAAAAGGAAGAAAGAAAGAAAAGACAGCCTATGGAATGGGAGAAAATATTTGCAAGTGAGTTGATGGACAAGGGCTTAGTCTCCAAAATATACAAACAGTTCATACAACCACCAACAGAACAGCCCAATTGAAAAATGGGCAAAAGACATTAATAGGCATTTCTCCAAAGAAGACATACAGATGACCAGTAAGCCCATGAAAACTCAACAGCATTGATTATTAGAGAAATGCAAATCAAAACTAGAAGGTACCACCTCACACTGATCAGAATGACCATCATGAAAAAGTCTACAAATAACAAATATTGGAGAGGGTGTGGAGAAAAGGGAACCCTCCGACACTGTTGGTAGGAATGTAAGTTGGTACAGCCACTGTGGAGAGCAGTGCAGAGGTTCCTCAGAAAACTAAAAATAGAATTACCATATGATCCAGAAATCCCACTCCTGGTCATATACCTGAACAAAGCTATAATTCAGAAGACACATGCACCCCTATGTTCCTAGCGGCACTATTTACAATAGTCAAGACATGAAAACAGCTAAATTCCCGTTGACAGATGAATGAATAAAGATGTGGTACATGTATAACTGGAATACTACTCAGCCACAAAAAATGAAATCATGCCATTTGCAGCAGCATGGATGCAATTAGAGATTATCATACCAAATGAAGTAAGTCAGAAAGAGAAAGACAAATATCATATGCAATCAGTATATGTGGAATCTAAAATATGGTGCAAATGAACCTATCTCAAGACAGAAACACTCACAGATGTAGAGAACAGATTTCTGGTTGCCACTGGGGAGGGAGATAGAAGAGGGAAGGACTGGAAGTGTGGGATTGGATATAAAATATTATATATAGGGTGGATCAACAACAAGGTCCTGCTGTATAGCACAGGGAACTCGATTCAACATCCTGTGATAAACCATAATGGAAAAAAACATGAAAGAATACATGTGTATAACTGAGTCACTTTGCTGTACAACAGCGGTTGGCACAACATTGTAAATCAACTGTGCTTTAATAAAAGATTAAAAAAATGAGGTCTTGTACCCCCATGTCTGCTGCCCCGACTGGCCTAGGAGAGTCTCATCATTCCTACCTTGGGATGGGGAAACTGAGGCCCACAGAGAGGAAGCAGCTGAGCCAGACTGCCCCGGGCCAGACCCTAGGACTCAGCGCCCCCCGGGCAGGCTCCCCAAGCCCTTTCTCAGTGCTGCCACCCCAACCCCCACCCCAAGACCTTGCTGCTTCTCCAGCCCAGGGAAACCAGGCTGGGCTCCAGGCTGTGTCCGGGAGCTCCTGTGATGTCACGGCTGCTACCGTGGCTCCTGGGTCAGGGGCCACCAGGGCCATGGCCCTCAGAGGGCCCTGGACACTGCATCGTTGTGTCCCCTGCATGGAGCTCTCCTCTGGGCCCTGTTTGGAGGCAAGGCTGCCACAGGCTCCTCCACGCACACTCTCTGTGGCTTCCCCGGAGAACACAGTGAGGCTCTGGGGACCTGGCTCCTCTCTGACGCTATGTCCTCCTTCCCCTCCCCAGTACCTGCCACGGAAGAGCACCCCGAAGTGCAGGTGGAAGACGCTGATGCTGACAGTCGCCCCCTCATCGCAGAGGAGAACCCACCCTCTCCCGTGCAGCTGCCCCCGTCTCCTGCCAAATCTGACACCCTTGCAGTCCCAGGATCGGCCACAGGGAGCCTCAGGTCGCCTTCTATGCTTCTCTTGGATGTTTTGTAGCACTGTGCCATCTATGCACTTCGTAGAAGAGGACACTGGGGCCAGAGAGGGGAAGAAACTGGCCCAAGGTCACTCAGTGAGATGCTGTCAGCACTGCGGCCAGGGGGGCCCAGGGGGCCCACCCCTTTCCGGGTCTCCTAATTCCTGGTTTCAGGCTCTAGAAAGAGGTCCCTGAGGAAGCCCTGTCCAGAATACCCTTGATTGTATGGTTTGAAGGGGGTAATAGATGCGACAGGGCTAATATTATTGTTAAAAATGATAGTGGAAATACCAAAGAACTCTAGATACAATAACCATCCCTCATCCCACCACCCTAGGTTAGGTTGTGGTTTTATTTTTCTGCCCTCTCTTCCATACCTTATTTGTGGGCCCAGGCTTCTGAGTGGTTTTAATTGAAGGTATGATTGGGTCACATCTCATCTGAGACCACATCTTATTTATTGAGCCCTTTTCCATATTGCCAGGCTGTCACTGTGATGCTGTGTTGACATCTTCCAGCGCCACATGTCAGAACAGACCTAACAGTCCTCGCCTGTTGAATACTGTCCACCATGGTGCTGTGGACATCTCTCTGGTCTTCTGCCCTCTGTCCCTGGGCTCCTTCTCGAAAGTGAAATTCCTGCTTAGGGTTGCACACACTGTTGTGCTTCTTGAGATAAGTTTTTAGTTGCTGCATGGTTAGAGGTGGTTTTGGACAACCTGAGCCGGTTATCTGAGAACCTTCCTGTATAGAGCTATAGGCAGGCTGTGAGGTGCAGTACTGTCCTTTGTGAATGATTATTTAAGCTAAAGAAGAGCCACCAGTGCCTTTCCTTTGCTGGCTGGATTGAGAGATGGCTCCTTTTTCTTCATTAATTCTTGCTCTCATCCATGAGCTTTTGAGGAATTTCTCAGCTGAAGTCAGGCGCCTGCTGGGATAGAAATGGCTGGATGTGGTCAACAGAAGGTTCCTAGATTTTAATGTGGAGAAGAGAGGCATAGTCTCACCTGGCCTCAGAACACAGCTCACAGACGCATCAGTCCTCGTGGTTAATTCATTGAATCAAATACAGAGTATAGATGGCAGAAGATAAGGCACTACCGTGGCTGTAGACATCTGGTCTACCTCCCTCTAGTCCCTTTATTAGGGCGGAGAAACTGTACAGGTTGGGTTAGAGATGGATACTGGGGAGCAGGGAGGGGACTAAGGTTACATGGGGCTAGAATCCAACCTCCTACCTTTTGCTTATGAGCTGGGTCTCTGAGGCTCCTCTGGTTATCATTCATTTGCAGACATTTTTTGAACATCTTTATGTGCCAGCCTCTGCTCTAGGTGCTGTAGATGCATCAGGGAGAAGCCTGTCCTAATAGAGCTGATATTCTAGTGCGGTGGACAAGTAATCTAGTGTGTGAACAAGTAATCACACAAGACTCTTCCAGGGAGCTGCTAAGCAGAACATGACTGTGAGAAACTGGAGAAGCCTCAGCCTGAGCTTGCCCCCAAGAAGGAATTCTGACGCCTGACATGAGAGACCGATGGGGCTGTCTGTGGTCAGGGATGGAATGAACATGGGGCAATTGATGGGAGCAGGGAAGCCACCCAAACAGAGGGGTAGAGGGGGGCATGTGGGCAAGGCCCTTCTCACAGCGCAAAGCTGTGGTTTGGAGTGAATCCCAGGTCACCACTTACCAGATGTGAGGCTTAAAGCAAGTCATTCAATCTTCCTAGCCCCCTTCTTTCCATGAGAAGATGGGGATGAAACATTCCCTGTACCTTAGGAATGTGAAAATTCAACCAACTCCTGTAAGTGAAGTGCTTAGCACAGGGCCAGGCCCTGGGCAGTGCTGGGGGAACAGAGCTTCTGACTGACTTCCACTCTCTGGACTCTCTCCAGGCCCTCGGAAGGCACTGGGCTGAGGGCAGGAGGGCTGAATTTAAGTCCGAGTTGTGAGATTTCTGCCCCAGTCTTCTTGTGTGCAGCATCCTTTTTTTCAGTATTTATTTATTTACTTGGCTATCAGTCAGTTCAGTCGCTCAGTCGTGTCCGACTCTTTGCGACCCCATGCACTGCAGCACACCAGACTTCCCTGTCCATCACCAACTCCCAGAGCTTCCTCAAACTCATGTCCATCGAGTCGGTGATGCCATCCAACCATCTCATCTGCTGTTGTCCCCTTCTCCTTCCGCCTTCAGTTTTCCCAGCGTCAGGGTCTTTTCCCTGATAACTGTTTGGCTATGCCAGGTCTTAGTTGTGGCATGTGGGATGTAGCACCCTGACCAGGGATTGAACCCAGGTCCCCTGCATTGGGAGTGCAGAGTTTTAGCCACTGGACCACCAGGGAAGTGCCCCTGCAGGCCTCCTTTTAATTAGAGTGTAAAAGAGGCAAACCCATGAGCTTTGCCATTTTAGTTGAGTTGGCAGAAGATAACAGGGTAGTTCCAGAGTCTTCCGGAATAAAGCAAATGCTGCACATCCTTCTGACTGTATCCCTCTAGAAGCCCTAATGGTGGAATCCTGAGTCACGGTGGTGGGGAATGGTAGGAGTACCACATGTATTCAAATCTAGATACCGTCAGCTGAGACACCAGTAGTTCCAAATGCAGCACTGGTGGACTTGGACTGAATGGTGGCGACCCAGGATAATTTAGTCTTCATCCTTCAGATACGGAAGAGGGAGCTCCGGGAGGGGATGGGGCTTTTCCCAGGTCATACCACGTGTGAGAGCAGACTCCATGGCCTGTGGATGTCAGTTTTTCCAATCAGGGACACATCTGTTAAGGGAGGGAAGCTGAGTTTCTGGGAGAGTTAACAGGATGGAATGTGAGCCCTCACACCTTATTGGAGGCTGGAAGGGTGGTGTTATGGAGAAAGAGGTGGGGGTGGACTGGGGAGCTCGGTGCCGGTGCTGTCAGACTGGGTGGTGGAGGGAGAAGGATGTTTAAAATGAGACCTGACTGAGTGATAAGCACCTCATTGAGCTGGTTAGATTTGGTCCCATTTTGGGCTTCCCTGGTATCTCAGCTAGTAAAGAATATACCTGCAATGCGGGAGACCTGGGTTTGATCCCTGGGTTGGGAAGATCCCCGGAGGAGGGCATGGCAACCCACTCAAGTATTCTTGCTGGAGAATCCCCATGGACAGAGGAGCCTGGGGATTACAGTAGTCCATGGGGTCACAAAGAGGCAGACATGACTAAGCAACTAAGCACAGCACTCACAGTCCCATTTTACAGAGGGGAAAGCTGAGGCAACACAGAGAGTTTAAGTGACTTGCCAAGGTCACACACTGGGAAGAAGCAGGGCTGGGGAGCACACTTGGGTTTGCCTGATACTGAGTCAGTGCTGTTACTTTTATGGGAGGCCGCTGAACGGATGCAGAGACTAAGGTCCGGAGGTCGGCTGTGTCCCCTTCTCCCTTTTTGTTTCCCTGCAGGCAAGCGAGGACCCTTGGGCAGCACCATCCTCTGCCCCCACCTCCCACCCAGGATTTGCTCTGGGTGATCTGCAGGGCTCCAAGTTGGCTCCCCACTTGTGGCTCCTGCCTCCCTGAAGTCCCTTTCCATGTCTGTATTCTTGCAGGAAGAGGCTGCCTTCCCAAGATGATGAGGCTGAAGAGCTCAAGATGCTGTCACCAGCTGCATCCCCTGTGGTCGCCTGGTCGGACCCCACCAGCCCACAGGGCACTGAGTAAGTGGGGGCCGCCTCTGGGGTCTCAGGGAGTCAGAAGTCTGGGTTGGGATGGGCAAGCAAAGGGAGGTGAGCTGGGGAGAGCATGGATGTTTTTAGAACACTCTGCCTGAAGGCAGACTGTGCCAGTGGTTTCCAAGCAGTAAGGGGGGGCGGGGTCCCCTGCCCTGGCTGCTTCTGGCTGGCCCAACAGTTGTCAAAATCTGGTCTGCAGAATGGGCCTGGGCTCTGGGCCTCCTGTGTCCTGAACCACAGAGGGTGGACCTGGGGAAGCCAGGTGTTTATAAGCTTCTCAGGTGATTCCAATGCAGCTGGTCCATGGAACAATGTTTAAAGGCCACTGTGAGGGCATCAGGGCCTGTGTCTCTGACATATGACCATCTCAAGGGCTGGGCCAGTGGGAGATGTTTTCCTAAAGGGCCTACGTAGGCTAGTGACAATGAATCCCCCAGCCCTGGGCTCTGGCCTGGGCATCTCACCTCCTCCCCAGCCACGCTCCTGGAGTGACCTCAGGAAACCATGGCCTTTCCTTCCAGTCTTTTTTTTTCTGCCTGTAATTTTATGGAGTTTATGCTTAGCAGTATCGCGGAAAGTTCAGAAAAGCCAAAGAAGCAGGAAAAAAATCCCAAACCTCACCTATCATCCAGTGATTCCTTTTAGTTACAGTGGAGTCTCATCTTATGCAATAGGATCAGGGTGGGGTTAGGGTTTATATCAGAAGATAAGGCAGAAATCATGTAGAATAATACAAATTCCCTTGGGAAAAAAGCTCTTAAGGTGGTCAGCATGGAGCCCTAGGTATTCCCTCAGTAGGTTAAGATGCTATAGCAAATAGACCTCAGTGTTTCAGTTCCTTAAGGAACAAGATGTCTCATGTCAGAGGTGTCACCAGATGCCTATTTCAGGGTCAGTGCACGACTCTGCTCTCTGCGGTCATTTAAGGACCCAGCCAACAGTGGCTCTGCCATCTTTCTGTGGCTTTCGAGATCTCCCTGGTCAGACTGGAAAGGGAGAGTGCCAGGCTGCTCTTCCATGAGGAGGCCTGGAGTTGCGCATGGCTTGTGCATGGAAGAAAGCTGACATGGCCACACCTGGGCATCGGGGCCCCTGGCTGGGTGGTGACTGCTCCCCAAGGGGGGTGACCAGTTCATGTCTCCTCCACCCCCGGTGCCATCTCTCACTACGACCCCACAGTGCCTGTCTCCATCTCAGCTGAACACAAGAGGAGTAGCTGGCTTGAGTTTCAGTGCCTCAATGTATGAAAGAAACAGTAGATCTGTAAAGACTAGTGTCACCGTCAGCTCAGCAAGAGGATCACAGGCCACTCTGCAGAGAGCTTGGAGCTAGGCTGATTCACACGGCCTCCCATCTCAACTCACCCAGGGCTCTGGACCCACGCTGAGCCGACTGTCAGGCAGACTCTCATTCATCCTGTCTATGTCTGTCTCTCTTGATGCAAGTTCATACATTTTAAATTCCTGTAAATTAAAAGGATTTGTAATGTATTTTTTATTTTCATTGAATTAAACTAATTAATTATTTTGCCCATGCTGCATGGCTTGTGGGATCTTAGTTCCCTGATCAGGGATCAAACCCATGACCTTGGCAGTGAGCACTCAGAGTCCTAACCACTGGACCGACAGGGAATTCCCTGCATTGTTTTTTTAATCAGCTATTTCTTAAACCTCAAAAAGTAGCCCCTGTCCCCTCTCTGATTGGTCCTGTATCTCATGTGAACCCCAAACTGAGCCTAACGGCCCTGAATTGAGTTCCAAGAGTTGCCCCCTAAATCACAAGTGGAATCCAAAGTTTTTCAGAATTGCCCATCTGAATCAGAGCCTGCATGGTACATTTCCTAAAATCTGGGTATCCCGGTGCAATTCCCAGGCTGAATTTCCTCCCAGGAGATATTAGGGTGGGTTTGATGTTTTGATGTCAAGAGGGAGACTGGGGCAGGATTGACCCCCTCAGGCCAGGTGGGATACAGATTCTGCCCTTGCCTGGGGGCGCAGGGGTCCCTCCCTACACAGTCCGCTCAGCTCTGGGTGCTGTTTCCACAGTGATCAGGACCGTGCAACCTCCACAGCCAGCCAGAACAGTGCCATCATCAATGACCGGCTCCAGGAGCTGGTGAAGCTTTTCAAGGAGCGGACAGAGAAGGTGAAGGAGAAGCTCATCGACCCTGATGTCACCTCCGATGAGGAGAGCCCCAAGCCCTGTGAGTCCAGAACTGGTGATGGTCTACCAGACCCGGGGTGCAGTGGGGCCCCTGGAACCCTCTTTGAACTCATGGGGAGGGTGGCCCCAAGAAAATGGTGGGGGTGCTTGAGAGAAGTGCAGATCTCCACTCTCTGGAATTTGAGATCCTTTATGTACAGGTTTAGCTATGTGTTCAGGGGAGGAAAGGTCAGAGTTCTGGCCGATGATCCAGTTGTACTTAGCTCTGCCTCCCAGAGGGCAGGTTCCCTGGTTGACCCTGTGCCCCCTTCCTGCTGGCAGGCAGGTAGTGGTCCACCCTGGGATGCATGTTATGGTCTTACACTCAGTTGGTATCCATAACCCACTCTGGAACCACACAGTCTTAGTTTTCAAAGGCCTTGGTTACAAATTTATTTGGAAGTTTTCTCCTTTCAGAGTGCCAGGACGAAATAAGAACCACGCTGTCTTGCCAGGGAGGTTTTCTAGGTTTTTCCAAAGGAGGGCTATGCCTTTGAACTCAAAATATCGACAATGAACCTAGCAGAACCTGACTTCATAATCCTAAAGCTAGAAACATAGCCATATTGAATCTTTAAGAGCCAGTCTCTAGTTCACCAACAAACATCTCCATAGATGCACAGGAAGGCTGTGATCCCGTTCAGTGTCTTGTTTTAGAGACGAAGGAGCTGAGATTCCTGTGCTGAAAAACCTAGGGCAATGTTTTCCTGATTCCTGGGGGTGGAAGTTCTGGGTACTAATGTCCCCCCACCTCCAGGGAGAACCAGGGTGTCCAAACACAGACACACAAGCCAGACACTCAACTGAAACACCCAGCTTGCCCAGAAACACTTCATTTTAGGCAACTCCTGAGCAGTGGTCCCCTATTGGTAGTAGGTAAGCATTTCAGAGCCGGTGCTCAGACTGCTATTTAAGAGGATCTGTAGGGTTTGCTGCAGGAGAACACACAGACCTTGTGGCTGGTTGTGGAGAACTGCCAGGGTCCCCTCAGCTCCAGCTCCAGTGTCTGCAGTTGGGGGCCATGTCTTTGCATCCTCGGCCTGAGCCCTGGGGCTCGGTCAGAGGGTCACCAGTGTTATCCCACAGCCCCAGCCAAGAAAGCCCCAGAGCCGGCCCCGGAAGTGAAACCAGCTGAAGCGGGGCAGGCAGAGGAGGAACACTACTGTGAGATGCTCTGCTGCAAGTTCAAACGCCGCCCCTGGAAGAAGTACCGGTTTCCCCAGAGCATCGACCCGCTGACCAGTGAGTCCTGGGAGGGCAGTGGGCGTGACCACCATGTCATGGAGGGGGCGGGGCGGGGGGAGGGGCCCAAACAAACAAGTCCCCGAAGTAGGAGGAATACGGCACCCGTCTTAACAGGCCAGGAAACTAAGCACAGAGGAGTTAACTGGCCTAAAGACACAACTAGTCAGCAGCAGACTCAGGACTCCTGCCTCTTGGCCAAGTCTTTTTTCTACTCTGCCCTTACTGGCTCCTTTCCCGATCTGCTGCTCTGAGCAGAGGAGAAAAAGGCTTCCAACATCTCAAGTAAAGTGCCTCTCACTTGCCTTTTAGCTCATTTTATATTCTTCGGGAATAACAAGCCTTCATATGTGCACAGCACTTTACAAAGGGTTTCCCTGCCTTTTCTTCCTTTTTTTAAAAATCTGACTTCTCCAGTGACTTCCCTGAGGAGGACAGAGCAGGGACCAGGGAGGGACTTTCCCAGGGTCACACATAAGTCACTGAGGGGCAGGACTCCGAGCCTGGTGTCCACAGGTCCTTTAAAATGCCCAGGTGGGGGGACTTCCCTTTGGGTCCAGTAGTTAGGACTCTGCACATTCACTGCAGGGGGCACTGGTTCAGTCCCTGTTCAGGGGATTAAGATCCCACAAACTGCTAGATGTGGCCAAAACATAAAAGTAAGTAAATAAAAAATGCCCACGTGACCTACAGTGTCCATCCCTCCATGCACCTGTCCGTGTATCCATCTGTCCATTTTCTATGCATTGTTCACTACTGTGTATTTAGGAAGGCAGGAAATTTTTGGAAAATTTTTGGAAAAAGTTCAACCAGAGTGAGATCAAAAGTGTTTTCTGTTAGCTGTCTATGAACTAGTAATGACCTCACATCCCCTACTGAGAGTACTCAGTTTGTTAGGGCCTAGCTGTGATTTATTTTTATATCAAAGATAGTTTTTTATGCTCCCCTCCGACCAGGCTTCCCTGGTGGCTCAGTCTGTAAAGAAACCACCTGCAATGCAGGAGACCCAGGTTCAGTCCCTGGGTCGGGAAGATCCCCTGGAGAAGGGAATGGCAACCTACTCCAGTATTCTTGTCTGGAGAATCCCATGGACAGAGGAGCCTGGTAGCCTATAGTAGTCCATGGGGTCGCAAAGAACTGGACATGACTGAATGACTAACACTTTCACTCTCCCTCAAGAAGGGCCACATTTAGAGCTGGTAAGAAAGTGCAGACTGATAAGTGGAAATAAGAAAGCCCCGTCCCGATCGCTACGGCGAGGCAAGGAGCCCTTCTCCGGCTGAGGTTCCAGCACCTTCCCTCCCCCACCCCTGCAGACCTGATGTACATCTTGTGGCTCTTCTTCGTGGTGCTGGCCTGGAACTGGAACTGCTGGCTGATTCCCGTGCGCTGGGCCTTCCCCTATCAGACACCGAGCAACATCCACCTCTGGCTGTTGATGGATTACCTGTGCGACCTCATCTACCTCTTGGACATCACCGTGTTCCAGATGCGCCTGCAGTTTGTCAGAGGCGGGGACATCATTGTGAGTCACAGCCGGGTTGGTTGGGGGGGCTGGGGGAAGACGCTGCCGCCAGAGCCCCTGATGCTAGGATGGACAAGAAGCTAAATGAACTGGGAAATCTCAGGACATCCACTCGTGCCTATTCAACAGCATGGTTATTTGTTTCACACATCTTTGATACATCTGAATTACACACATCTTCGTTTGTGGGGAAAATGGTTCCTGGACCACCTGATGGAATTAGAGATGAAGAAGTAGTCCAGAGAATGGTCTCCAGAGTAGGCAGACCTGGTTCAAATCTTGGCTGTATGAGAACTAACTGTGTCACCTGTCAGAGCCTCAGTTTCCTCATCTGTAAAGTGGGAATAGTAATTGTTCTCACCTCTTACCATTGCTGAGGCTCCATGGAGGTGATGTATGCAGAGTGCTCAGCAGAGGTAACTGCTGACAATCGACATTTCCTGGGGCAGCAGGGGAGGGTCCTGCAAAAAGTACACTCCTCAGACCAGCTGGGGAGTCCATGTTCTGGTGCGCTTTCTGGGGAGGAAACCAAAATCCTGACTGTGATGTGGCAAAGTTCCCATCTCCCTGTGTAGGTCATTTTTCAAAATTCCATGTGGGTGGAGCTGGTCTCCTCTGTGTACAGACAAGTTGAGGTTGAGCTTCTAAAATAATTCACAGGAAGAAGAATTCCCTGGGGCAACCTCTTTCCTGGTCTGATCAGAGCAGTGAATAAGGTTGCAAACGATCCAGGTGAGGCTAACGTGCTGAGAGAGTAAGGTCAGCGTCCCCACTTTCCATCCAAGAAGCCGGAATCAAGCTGAGTGACCTTGGATGACACACCCCCACTCCAACTTGGGGAGCTTGATCTCCCCATCTGTAGACTTTTACCAAGCTCCGCTGGTCCATTCAGTGGCTCTGCACCCATGGGGCTGTTATTTGGATAGGAAGATGGAGGTTGGGCAGGAATTTACATCACTGCTCCAGTGGGGTCAGGGGGAAGCTCTCAGGCCATTTCACAGTCATTATTCCATTTCATTCCAGACGGACAAAAAGGAGATGCGCAACAATTACCTGAAATCTCAGCGCTTTAAGGTGTGTGCCAGGGGTCTCAGGAGGCTGTGTCTCCGGGGGCCCTGGGTGTTCTGAGGCTAGTGTGACGTGGCTTCCCCCACAGGGCCAGCATGGGCTGGGGCTTGCTGGTGGGATACCTGCTGCCCTAGTTTTAGCCCCTCCATGGGCGTCCTGACCTCGCCTTTCCATTGAAGGTGGAGACCCCCGTCACCCACCCCATCCCACAACCCTGGGAATTACACGCTGTTTTATACACTGTGGTGTCCTGCTGGCATTTCAGATGGACATGCTCTGCCTCTTGCCCTTGGACTTACTCTACTTGAAATTCGGTGTGAATCCCCTGCTGCGCTTGCCCCGCTGTTTGAAGGTAAGGAGAGTGGGCTTCCCCATCCAAGGCCTCCAGCTCCTCTGGTGCTCTGCACTGGTGCCAACATCTTGATGCCTGGTCTAAGCAGTACTGGTGAGGCATCAGGAAAGGGTGGCTGCAAGGGATGATGGGAAGTTCCTTATGACTGTAAGTGCTTCTTCACTGTGCTGTGTGTTAGATATTGTTCTGGAGGCTTTACAAGTGCTTACTCCTCAATTCCGTGAGGTGAGGGTTATTAGTACTAGCAACAACTAATGGTGATGCAGGAGTCAGGCCACACATTCAGATCCATCCTGGCTCCCCCTCCCACTGAGGGGCTGCAGAAAGAACCCTCAGTCCTGGCAGCTGTGGGGAGTGGGTGGGGAGGGGAGGGCAGCGGGCCACCCTTGATGCCTTGCTCTTCCTCCCAGTATATGGCCTTCTTTGAGTTTAACAACCGCCTGGAATCCATCCTCAGCAAAGCCTACGTTTACAGGTGAGACCCCCTACATGTGCACACACGTGCACACACATGTCCCAGGATATTTGCAGCAAGAAGAGAGCAAGACATTCTCTATCCCATCCCTTCCCCTTTCAGCATCCCCCGGCTCCCAGGCCCACTAGCCACTACCACCCGCCGGAAGCCAGGCCTCTTCCTCATCCTTCTTTGAAGGGATGTTTGTTTTTTAAAGATCCAGGAATGTCCCGTTTCCCGCAATTGTGAGGAGGGCATATGCAGGTTGACGTGTGTGGCTTCCCTGCATATCCAGGGAGCTGGGCCTCGATTTGGTTTCAGCTCAGGAAACTGACCCCCCAAACACTCAAACATGGGTGGTGGGCTGTAGGGACACAGTGGGCCATCTTGCAGACACCCTGGCTTGGAACACAGCACAAACCAGGCCACGCAGTAGTATAGCCACCGGTTCCCATGGGCCAAGTGCCCATCGCACCAGGCAGCTGGGCAGGGCCTTGCGGCTCCGACACGGGGATCCCTGCGGGTTCTGGGGAAGGTGAGGACTCGCCTGTTCCCTGCAGTCCCCACCCCTGGGCTGAGATGTCATTGCCAGCTTTTCAACTGCTGCATTCGTGCCTTCCTTCTTCTGCAGGGTTATCAGGACCACAGCCTACCTGCTCTACAGTTTACATCTGAACTCATGTCTGTATTACTGGGCGTCGGCCTATGAGGGCCTCGGCGCCACTCACTGGGTTTATGATGGCGTGGGAAACAGGTGAGCCGCAGTCTTCCTCCTGTGTCTTAATAATTCATGGCACCAAGACCCCTAGAGAGGAGTCCCGCTGCCGCTATGTTGCCGGGTCACCTCGTTCCCAAGGAATCAGTGCCCGGCCATAGTGGGGACTTGGTCAGCTGTGGTGACAGAGGCAGAGGAAGAGTTCAGGCCCAAGGGGCTGCGAGTCCCCTCAGGCAGGCCTTGCCTCACCCTGGGCTGTGCCCTCAAGTGATGCAAAACGCTCTCCATCCAACTCGTCAACACTTTGACCTCCTCCTTACACTTGCTTCTAGCTGGTGCAAGAACAGGTGATTGCTCGCATCCAAGGTAGCTTCTTTAAAAAAAAAAAAAAGGTTTGTTTATTTCCTTTTGGTAGTGCTGGGTCTTCATTGCTGCACATGGGCTTTCTCTGGTTTCGGTGAGTCAGGGGCTACTTTCTAGTCACGGTGAGCAGGCCTCTCATTGTGCTGGCTTCTCTTGTTTCGGAGCACAGGCTCTAGGCATGCAGGCTTAGTTACTCTGTAGCATGTGGGGCTTTCCTGGTTCAGGGATCAAACCCGGGTCCCCTGCATTGGCAGGCAGATTTTTAACCACTGGACCAGCAGGGAAGTCCCAAGGTGGCTTCTTTATAGAGTGGCTGTTGGTCCAGAATGTCCCCTTCTCAGGCCAAATGCCTCAGTACTCGGCCACAGTGACCTGTCACCTGAGATGGGCCTGTGGCCTGAGGGGAGCTCACCGAGAGAGTCTGAGGGTCCAGGGCAGCCCAGCAGGCAGGAGGGGGAACCTGACATCCGCTGTGGGGTGCTGTGTGTTGGGGATGGGATCAGGGCCCAACACCCTGACACCACCACTGACCCTGCCCCTGTTCCCCTTGGCTGAACCCACCCACAGCCGTGGTCCAGAGACCATGACTAGACCATTCATTCATTCATTCACTCACTCGTTCATTCATTCACCCCCTCACAAGGGGGCAGAGGCAGGACTCAAAGGCCTTCTGTGCAAAGGGAAGAACAGAAGCTATTTATTAAATCTTGCTCTGTGACTTTGGGTAAGGCCCTTACCCTTTCTGAGGCTCAGTTTTCTCATCTATAAAATGGGGGTGGGATCACACAGATTTCTCATGAGAAATAAATAAATTAGTGTGTGTAACACATCTAACCCGTGCCTGGATAGGAGTCAGTGACCCCACTTCCTAGGTATGGTCATTCTTAAGGGGAAGCCAGCACACTGGGAACCTAACCTAGGTTCCTAACCTAACAACCCCCCCTTGAAATCAGAACTGAATTTTGGGAGCATGCTGACTTCTAAGGAGAAGCTTCCTAACTGTCCTTAAATTCTCAGAGGGGTTCATATGCCACCTGGCTAAGAAGCCATTTCCCAGGGCAGGGCCTGGCACCCATCTCAGGCAGGCCTGCAAGGAATGGCAGGCAGAGTGGGGAAGACAGGGCTGGCTCTCTGGGACTTCTTGTGCAGTGGAGAGGCACACTTTCCTGGCAGCATTACCCTTTCCAAATAAAATCCTACAGGGAAACCCAAGATATGCAAAAGCACAACTAATGAAGGAGAATTCCTCTAAAAATCCAATATCATTCATAATAATAACTTTCAAAATAGTGAGCATTTCTTGAATGCCTGCTATAGTCCAGGGGGCCTAAGGACCTAAGCTCCTATATATTTGGTTTCTTCATCCTGCTTTGCGTTGGCCAGGTCTGGGGCAATATGCAGGGGTCTCCACAGGTCTACTGGCATGGAATACTCAAGAGAGTAGCTGGCTTCTCTAGTCAGGAAGGGCTTCAGGGAAAGCCAGAGCTATGTGGATCACTCATCTTTATTCTGCTGGTGGCCCAGCAGCACCCAGCACCCAGGCAGTGCCCAATTCAGTCCCCCTAGAGGGGACTTGATTTTCTTAATTCTCAAGAAAATTAGAGATACCAAGGGAACATTTCATGCAAAGATGGGCACAATAAAGGATAGAAATGGTATGGCCCTAACAGAAGCACAAGATATTAAGAAGAGGTGGCAAGAATACACAGAACTATACAAAAAAGATCTTCATGACCCAGATAACCACGATAGTGTGATCACTCACCTAAAACCAGACATCCTGGAATGCAAAGTCAAGTGGGCCTTAGGAAGCATCACTACAAACAAAGCTAGTGGAGGGGATGGAATTCCAGCTGAGCTATTTCAAACCCTAAAAGATGATGCTGTGAAAGTGTTGCACTCAATATGCCAGCAAATTTGGAAAACTCAGCAGTGGCCACAGGACTGGAAAAAGTCAGTTTTCATTTCAAAGAAGGGCAAGGCCAAAGAATGTTCAAACCACCTCACAATTGCACTCATCTCACACACTAGCAATGTAATGCTCAAAATTCTCCAAGCCAGGCTTCAACAGTACGTGAACCATGAACTTCCAGATGTTCAAGCTGGATTTAGAAAAGGCAGAGGAACCAGAGATCAAATTGCCAACATCTGTTAGGTCACAGAAAAGGCGAGAGAATTCCAGAAAAACTTCTGCTTTATTGATTACACCAAAGCCTTTGACTGTGTAGGTCACAACAAACTGTGGAAAATTCTTCAAGAGATGGAAATACCAGACCACTTTACTTGCCTCCTGAGAAATCTGTATGCAGGTCAAAAGGCAACAGTTAGAACTGGACATGAAACAACAGACTGGTTCCAAATAGGAAAAGGAGTATGTCAAGGCTGTATATTGTCACCCTGCTTATTTAACTTATATGCAGAGTACATCATGAGAAATGCTGGGCTGGAAGGAGCACAAACTGGAATCAAGATTGCCGGGAGAAATATCAATAACCTCAGATATGCAGATGACACCACCCTTATGTCAGAAAGTGAAGAAAGAACTAAAGAGCCTCTTGATGAAAGTGAAAGAGGAAAGTTTAAAAGCTGACTTAAAACTCAACATTCAAAAAACTAAGGTTATGTCATCCGGTTCCATCACTTCATGGCAAATAAATGGGGAAACAATGGAAATAGTGACAGACTTTATTTTCTTGGGCTCCAAAATCACTGCAGATGGTGACTACAGCCATGAAATTAAGACACTTACTCCTGGGAAGAAAAACTATGACCAACCTAGACAGCATATTAAAAAGTAGAGACATTACTTTGCCAACAAAGGTCTGTCTAGTCAAAGCTATGGATTTTCCAGTAGTCATGTATGGATGTAAGTGTTGGACTATAGAGAGGTGAGCATCAAATAATTGATGCTTTTGAACTGTGGTGTTGGAGAAGACTCTTGAGAGTCCCTTGGGCTGCAAGGAGATAAAACCAGTTAATCCTAAGGGAAACTAGTCCTGAATATTCATTGGAAGGACTGATGTTGAAGCTGAAGCTCCAACACTTTGGCCACCTGATTCGAAGAACTGACTCATTTGAAAAGACCCTGATGCTGGGAAAGATTGAAGGTGGGAGGAGAAGGGGAGGACAGAGGATGAGATGGTTGGATGGCATCACCGACTCAATGAGCATGAGTTTGGGTAAACTCTGGGAATTGGAGATGGGCAGGGAGGCCTGGTGTGCTGCAATTCATGGGGTCGCAAAGAGTCGGACATGACTGAGCAACTGAACTGAACTGAACTGGATATGAAAATTTAGGTTGAAAATTATTTTCCTCTGGGATTTTGGTTGCATTTATCAACTGACTTCTTGATATTGTGAAGTCCAATTTGCAGATGTTAAGGTAGATACTATTATGATTTCTTATTATTTGTATATGATCTATATTTTTTCTTCTGAAAGATATATAAAATCTTTCCTTATTCTCTAGTTTTTAAAAATTTCACAATTATGAGCTATTATGTATACCTTTTAGACCTTGGAGCTAATTGTCCTGGATACTACCTGCAGTTATCATTTGTGTGTGTGTGTGTAAGTTTTATTCCTGCTCTCCACATTGATTCTGAGAATCCTTTCCCCCTCTTTGTTTTGCTTCTTGGTTTTGGCTTTGGTCTCTATTTTTTTCTTTTAGAACTCTATCACCAAAAGTCTGCTGGTCTTTGGTTGTCCTTTCTAACTTAAGATTGAGGAAAATTTAAAGCCAATTGGAATCTCTGTGTGCATGGATGAGGGCCACTGCCTTGTGAACTTCACAGGACTGTGTAAAGAATCCCCCTGTCACCTTCTGCTTTCCTGCCTGGCTAAGAAGGCATAAACTTGACTGCCACTCTTCTTAAATCTTACCATTCTAGGATACAGAATAAGCTAGGGAATCTCACCATTCAGGATACAGACTCTTCCTTAATCCTCTAGTAGGTGGTATGGTGCAAACCCATGACCTCACCTCTGCCTGTCTCCTGGACTCTCCTTGGATTCTGTTTTGGTTCCCTCTGTTCTTTCCCTCAGGTCACCCATTTCCACCCTTCAGCCTTTACAAGTGGCTGCCCCATGGCCTGTTTTCCTCCCCTGCCAGCCTTCAGTTCAGACAGAATATCCCCTGATATCTTTTAATAAACCCCCAATTTTTATCTTTCACATAAAAATAGAGCCTATGTGTAGACCCCTAAATCTAGGCAGGGGATGAAGATTCTTTGGAGTCAAACTCAAAATGCTTGGAACCACAAGGAAGGGAAGGAAGAAAGGAAAATACCCAATTCATTTCTTTCAGAGTTTCAGATCCCCGACTCTAAGATACCAAACAACAAGAGACTAAAGATAATTATCAGGAAATATTTAGACTGAAGCAAGTCTTCAAGTTACTATGCACACAGTAGATGCTCTATGGAAACATATTAAGGTGAATTTAACACATGGATAGGGTGATAGGTATATGGTAGCTTCTTACCAAAACTAAGATTTGGGGTCTCCAGATGCCTTGCCTTGGTGTCTCATCAACAATTGGCTTCTTTGTTCAATGAGGCACTGCCTCTCCTTTAACAGAGCCTTTAATTTCTAACCTAATCTTATTTGTCATGATTCTCTGAGACATGCCAAATAAAGCTTTCAGGTCTCTATGTATTTTGGTATCTGGATATGTCTGACTCACTTAAGGGCTTTCATCCAGTGACAGTAACCATACCCAATGAGGTCTCCATGCTAACAGGGCTTAAATGTTTTCTACCCCTCAGGCTCTTTGGGTGATGATTCAACCAAAGAGAAAATGGGAACTGAAAAGTTTGTACCCGCTCCTTTTCTGACTCCAGTGCATTGCAATAGGGCTACTTTTAATGTGCTTAGCAACAATTAGCTCTTGAAGCTGCAACAGCTGCA